GGCGATGACTATGCTGGTAGTTAGTGCTAGCCAGAAACAGGCTATAGTCTGGGCAAAGTTGCAGTAGGTGGTTACCGGTATCTGACATGCGACTAACAAGTCCTCATTGGTCACTCTACCGACTCTCCATTGTGCCTAGATGCCCAACCTGAGCATCCAAGTCTCCGGCTAGTGCTACAATATCTGTCGGACGCACTTCCTGCAAAAGAACACTCAACTGATGGTAGAACCCGTTCTTGATCACATCCAGACTGAAATTTGTCGTGGTGCAAGAGGAGATGACGAATACATCGTTGCTCAGGCCGATTTCTTCGCACTTTGGTGGAAATTTCTCATCTAACAACACGTAATAGAGATCCAGTGTATTTGTACCACCTCAGCTCTAGCGCCTGGTGAAACACCAACACTAGCGAAACCGGACAAAAATATCACAGCGTCCCTGGATGGACGCACGCGAAACAAGCTTTTCAAAGCGACAGATGAAGAGAGAATTTGCAGTACTTCACTATAGTCTTGAAAACAGGTCTCGGATAGACAAAATACATCGATCTTAAGAATTTCTAAAGACATAGCTAACCCTGTGTTGTCCGATTTGTATTAGTGTGCGAACGCTGGAGGCCAGTTCAAATGGTATACATGGTTTTAAAAAGGCTGGTTCGGAATTCATACTCAATGAAAGAATTCAACCTTCGACCAGTCAGTGACTTGATATCGTTTAGATAGAACAGGATTTTCATCATAGACAAGCTTCTGTATGAAGTTAAGAATAAAGGAATATACAAAGTGGAGATGAAGGAACTAACAAGTGACCCAATGTAAAGGCGACTATTAAAATAAAATAAAATAAAATAAAAAATAAAATAAAAATAGGCAACTATTCAGACTAATAAAAGAAACCGGAATTACGAAGTCAAGTGTAAGTGAGACAATCTCCGAAAAAGACGGAACCCTTATCTGCTCTCTACCCAAACGTTTAGAACGATGGGCGGAACACTTTAAGGAGCAGTTTAGCTGGCCTTCAGCTACTGCACAACTACCCACTATCCCTAGAAAACCTGAATGGAACATTGAAGTAGGCCCCCCGACCCTACTTGAAGTTCAAAAGGCTATAGGTAATCTGAAACGAGGAAGAGCAGCTGGTCCAGATGGATTGGCTCCAGAGGTCTTTAAATATGGTGATCCAATTTTAGCGATTAGGTTGACTAATATTCTGGCTAAAATCTGGGAGACGGATGTAATCCCATCCGACTGGTCACAATCACTGATTGTCCCAATATATAAAAAGGGGTCAAAATCATCCTGCGATAACCATAGAGGGATTAGTCTGACTAACATAGCATCTAAAATACTAGCCTCAATAATTATCGGGCGCCTAACTAAGACTCGTGAACTGCAAACACGAGAAAATCAGGCTGGCTTCAGACCTGGTCGTGGCTGTATCGACCACATATTCACCATTCGTCAAGTTTTAGAGCACAGACACGCTTATCGGCGTCCGACAATGATAGTTTTTCTTGACTTGAAAGCAGCATTTGACTCTGTAGACCGAGAGGTTCTGTGGCAGTGTCTGTCATTGAAAGGTGTACCTGAGAAGTACATAAACCTTGTGAAGGCTCTTTACTCGAACACTACCAGTCGAGTGAGAGCTTATGGCGAACTGTCATATAATTTTACAACCTCAAGTGGTGTCCGTCAAGGCTGTCCACTATCCCCATTTTTGTTTGACTTCATTATAGACCTGTTGCTGGAAATAACACTCTCGTCGACTGAATTTACAGGAATTGATCTCCTACCAGGGGGACCACTAAGCGACTTAGAATACGCAGATGACATAGTCCTGTTTGGTGAAGACGCTGGCAAAATGCAGAGTCTTCTGTTGGAACTGAGTAATAATGCCAGGATGTTTGGGATGCGTTTCTCCCCATCCAAATGTAAATTGTTACTCCAGGACTGGCCTGCGTCAACACTCGAACTAAGGATAGGGAGTGAAGTAGTCGAACGCGTTAACAACTTCACTTATCTTGGAAGTCTGATCAGCCCTAATGGGTTGGTGTCTGACGAAATCTCAGCACGGATTCAAAAAGCTCGTTTGGCTTTTGCCAACTTACGTCACCTATGGCGAAGACGAGATATCCGTCTATCAATTAAGGGACGAGTATACTGCGCAGCAGTTCGCTCTCTTCTACTTTACGGTTGTGAAACATGGCCATTAAGAGTAGAAGATACTCGTAGGTTACTAGTATTTGACCACAGATGCCTTAGAAATATTGCACGCATCTGCTGGGATCACCGGGTAAGTAATAGTGAGGTTAGACGCAGGGTATTAGGTAACGATGGTAAATCAGTTGATGAGGTCATGAATCTTCATCGACTGAGATGGTTGGGCCATGTGTTACGTATGCCTGAACACCGATTACCACGACGCGCTATGATGACTAGTGTAGGGGATTGTTGGAAGAGAGTTAGGGGCGGCCAAACCAAAACATGGCATCAGTGTTTGAAGTCACTAACTTCTAGTCTGAGCCATGTTGGTAGATGCAGACTACCTGGTTGGGGTCCGCGTGACTATCGTAACCAATGGTTGGAGACTCTAGGTGACATGGCTCAGAATCGATCAGAATGGCGTAGGTGTATACACTCTTTATCTTCCTTTAAACCTTGAGACTAAAATTGCTTCATATCTCTCCTCCTTCCTGTACTATATCCTTATATACAGTATATAATTTATATACTACTACCACCACTAAATTAATTACTTCTATGAACCCGGTGTTCATCTTGTTGTGCTAACGAGGTATGGCAACTTGGACCGATGCATAAACGTGCCTGGTCCTACGTTGTAGCTGACTGAAATAGTTTTGAGTATGGTTTACGAAAATGAGATTTAAAGGACGAATACATTTCTAGTTTTGGTCATCTTTTAGTTTGTGTCGGCTGAGATACTGCCCGGAAGCCCAAAATGAAGTAGAACGCTTGGAATATCAATGATTTAAAACTTACAAATAAGCCATGATAGAGAAGCTTCGACTGGAGTTGTTTCCTACGATATGTCGCTTCCATATGATCAATCTGAAACCAGGCTTGGGATGCAGAGGGAAGATGCCAGATGGCACATCGGCGATGACTATGCTGGTAGTTAGTGCTAGCCAGAAACAGGCTATAGTCTGGGCAAAGTTGCGGTAGGTGGTTACCAGTATCTGACATGCGACTAACAAGTCCTCATTGGTCACTCTACCGACTCTCCATTGTGCCTAGATGCCCAACCTGAGCATCCAAGTCTCCGGCTAGTGCTACAATATGGTCTGCGCACAGTTACAGTGGACGGTCCCACTATCTGGCCTGTGACCATCAAGTCCCCATCGGCCACGTAAACAACTCTCTTCTGTGTCTTCATTTATTTTATTTATTTGAACACATAAACATTGGTACAAAGGGGCACCAAATACATATGCGCAACGTAAGTTACTTGATTTGTGCGAGGGCTGGGATACTGCTCGAGTGCTCAAACCGAAGCAGGTGGTTTTCTTAGGGGGCCACACCCGGAGCCTTTGACCTAAGAGTCTAATACACATGTCAGTGGAGCAACGTAAACAGGTACAGTCCTACGGTAGCCGGTGGCCGACAATTAGTTCATACGCCATTTGTTCCCTCAGGATACTGGAGCCCATGTGCACCATTTGTTTGGAATCAGGGTTTTCCAACTCCCCTAGGTGGAGTTTCCGTGTCCACCAACCCGGTTAAAACACAGGACATTCGCTTTTCGTCCTCTCACTTTCGTAAATAACACCCCTGGTGAGAGAAGGAAGTGAGTAGGACTTCCCTGACAGTGGCTGTATACGCATAGCCATGTGAAAGCATTTCGAGAGGAAGAGCGAACTCTTCACACTCTCGGCCATATCGAGGCTATCGCTTAACCACATCGTATCATTGCATATTATCAATTGATAAACATTGTGTTCATCAATTTTTTAATCCCTAAACGTTTTCCTACTACAAATCGGAAAATTTTTTATTCAGAAATTTTTATTTATTTATTTATTTAAACACATAAATATTGGTACAAGTAAGCACCAGATAAATATGCGCCTCACAAATCTCATTCGATTTGTGTGAGGGCTGTGATACTGCCCAGGTGCCCAAACTGAAGCAGGTTTTATTCAGAAAACACTTGTCTGATAGTGTTCGGCAGCCCTATTTTCCAAAAATTTCTTGCTTTCAGGTAGAACACTAAGTTTACATAGTGTCCGTCTCAACGGAGATCACTTCAAAGATCTTACCATTTTAAAGAACCGGCTTCAGTACCCTAAAGATATTTTGCGCATGTCGTCCTAACGGCTACCATCGTGAACACCTTTTTTTTAAACTCGAATGCGGAAAAAGGATCGGTTACGATGATATTTGTTGAGTTACGTGATCTGACGCAACCAAGCTGGATTTTAATTAGAAAAGATATTCCGATCTTTTTTAAGAACTATACAAAACTTAGTATAATTTATGTTGACTTCTGTTCTAAACATTATCTAATAACATCTCAAATCACTGAGTTGTGTGATCTTTACAGCTCTAAAAATCTTCAAGTTGTTGATTCAATTTTAATTAACAATTTGATACTGTTCTTTCTATTCTTCATTAGAGCTATAACTTATTGAGTTGAGACTCATTTTCTAAATAGTTGGTCATGTGGTTCAAAACATTTCTACTGACTGGGTTTAAGCAAATAGTATGAAACTTTAGAAAATGCTGCGTATAAACCAGTAAACAATAGTATATATGTTTGATGTATTAGTTTTTACTTTGTGTTCTTATGACAACATAAATGCTTACAAACTGTGCAGATCGTTCTCAAAGTTCACAAAAATGGTTAGTATGCCAGTCTAAATAACTTAATGTCTCAGTAAAATGACTTTGTTGGTTATCGATTACAATATTTTCGAATGTAATAAACCATTGTAAAATCAAAGTTTTATCCTTGGTCTCGTTTCTTACTTCATAATTTTCAGATGTTTATGCGCCGGAGTAAATTTAAACATGTCTTCGGGAAACCGTGCAAGAAAGAATGCTGTTACGAAGACATCCGAATAACGAAAAGTAGTTGGGATGCCCGTTTTTGTGCTGTAAACCCCAAGTACCTTGCGATTATTACCGAAGCTGCGGGGGGCGGATCATTTCTTGTTTTACCTATTGAAAAGGTAATTCCTTTAACATTGATCATCATATGTAGATAAATTAAGGTACATCTTGTTAATCGTTTGTTCAACCATCGTGTTAATACTCTTGTTTTCTCCACTAATTCTAAATGCTTTGGTCAAAAATATATTTTGATAAATTCTAATCGGTGTATATCTTGAAGCAAAAGTTATATTGTTCAGTTAGAAGAAGATCTATCTTCTCGCTTACCAAGGTTAGGAAAACCTTGCAGATTTTTGAATCATCATAGCAGATGTGGCTCATACTCTGGTACAGTTTTTCTCAAATTTATGCGGATCATGCGTGTTCTTAGTGATTTAGGCTGGTACTATCCTTGTTGCTCTTCCTAACCTCAGATTAGATTGTATAAAAGAAGTCATATTCATATTGTTTTGTAATAGTCGTAATTTCGGACTGTTGCTGCTACCTTGACGTGGTGGTCGGGCTTGCCTATCATGATGAACCAATCGAGCTATACTGCCTGGAACAATCGTTCGTCAAGGTTCCACTATGCCAGACGTGTCTGTTGAAGAATGGTAAAACTAAAAGCAGCAAACCCAAGGCCCGAGGGCAAAGTCTTACTGCTAACTGTACAGAGGTGTGACGGCATTAAGGTGTGTTTCTCATAAAACCATCATAACAGCGTTGCTGCCTTCCCACAGGGCAGGGTGGGGTTAAAATAGCTCGACACTAAAAACACACCTCGCTTTATCCCACGGGTTTCTGTCTCCAGCGGTAAGGTCTCCACAAGTATGGAGCTAACACGAAAAGGTCGTGTGTGACCGGCCTCAAGCAGTTGTCCCTTGGGCACTGCGGTTATGCTCTCAGGTCACTAAGAACACTTCTAACCCAATTTCCTTTTCAGGTACCTCTAGATAAAATGCTTCCACGTTATGGGCAACCGGGAAGTGATAACCACCCTCACAACACTCAAGACCGCTATATACATAGTCAATTTCCCCCTTCCATTCCTATTATTCCTCCTACCTCGTCTATCAACTCTAAACTTCCCCTCAAGTGTCACCACGACCAACGATTCTAGTGTGTGAAATACTGTCCCAGGTCTACTGAAACCTCGCTCCAAACTACACATTGGAGCCTTCAATGTACGTACGCTATGCCAAATCAGCCAGCAGGCCACCCTGGCTAAGACCCTAGAATTTTGTATCCTAGTGTGATCATTCACTTGACCTCCCCTTGCCAAAACGAGTAGCCGATAAGATACATCCTCCGTTTATCTGAGGATCTGACCAAAATAGCATCGAGGCGTCAAAATCATTCTGTAACAGCCATAGAGGGATTAATTTGAGTAACATAGCATCGAAAATACTAATCTCAAAAATTATTGGGCGCCTAAAAGAGACTTATGAACAGCAAGCACAAGAAAATCAGGCTGGCTTCAGACCTGGTCGTGTCCACATCGATCACATATTCACCAATGCTGTAAGCGTATATACTATTTGTCTTCCTTTAAACCGTGAGGTTAAAATTACTTTATACCTTACTCTCTACGAGTTAATTCTTCCCCCTATATCATATCCTTATGTGCAATTTTTTAAAATATATTATACACACTTTACATTCTCTATCTCTTCACATTCCCATCGTTATTGTGTGTCGCATAGGTATTGGATTCCCTTTTGTACCAATATTTATGTGTTAAAATAAATAAATTGAAGTAACTTCTATGAATTCGGTGTTCATCTTGTTGTGCTAATGTGGTATGGCAACTTGGACTGATGCATATATGTGCTTTGTTCTATATTGTAACTGACTGACTGAACAGTCGTTATTGTTTAGGTGTGAAAATCGTCTGTTCAAGTGAAAGATGATTGCTCAAACTTGAAAGACTTAATAATTTTTGTCTTTTGATTAGGGTTTCTGTAGAAGTCTCAATTTTTAACATGTAATCACTAATATTCTAGGTTTCACTTGATCATCTCTTAAAACTAAAGACATTTAATTTATAATTACTGGACTTACAATTTCTATTTAAACAGCAAAAACATGAGAGTCAGAGACGGGATTTCTTTTCAACTTTTCAGTGAAATAGTCATCTTAGCATCATCACTACTACTTACCTTTAAAGAAGAAAATTCTTCGTAGTTTTGTGTAGATTCATAGTGTTTGTGCCTTGTTTGAATACTTCAAACATGTATTTACACTAGCTGGACGGCTTTAAATATCATCGTTCAGCCATCTTGTCTGTGTTTAAGGACTCATGAGAAGTAAAACTATTGTCTTGTGAACCTTGGTCTTCATCGGCTGTCAACATGTAATCGACTTAATCAGACTCTTAAAGAATACTTATAGTTGTTTGTTGCTTATTTTAAGGAATGTGGTAAGCAATATTTTAGGAATCAGGTTTTAGGTCCTATGACTGGTCACTGTATTTGGTATACCTGTTACAACTATCAATGGGATATTTATAGTTTTGAATGCCAGAAATTGTTATTATCTTCTGGCCATTACTAATAACATTCGATGAACTATTAAAGCCCAAGAAACCTATTCAGTAATCCTGTCCCTATTGGATTGTAATTGATTTTTGTCGGCTGTATTATTTATAATCGACTATTATGTTATATTTTATAAAATATAACATGGGTTTTTTGAAGAGTTAAAATATATTACTTCAAGTAAAAGGATTAACACACACACACACTACAAACGACTGCCTACACACAGGGTTCACTCAAGCGACATTGTAAATATGTTCATTACTTGACGTTTTACTCAAGTTTCCACAATAATTGTAAAATAATATATTAAAACTGAATGCCTTCCGTCTTATAAATGCCCTTCATTAAATTGATTGATACCTACTCTAGTTAGTGTTTAGAACAAATTTAGCTATTCTGATTGTATCATTGAAAATAAAATACTTTGATACAGTTCCGGGTTTTACGTGGAAGCTCAACACGCTGATTGTATACATAAGTTGGCTTCAGGATGATTGTCAACTTTCCAAACAAATACTCAATATCAACCGCCATTTAGTGTTCTTGATAATCTGATTAAATTGATATCGTTGTGTACTTTTATGTTTAGTATAGTTGAATACCATCTGAAATAAATCATGGATTAAAGCTTTATGCTCCACAATAAGGAATATTAGTAACACGTAGGCTATTCACAAACCATTTAAGATTTATAATATAATCTCTTAACTCTTCAATTGAAGAGACTGGTTAAGTTATGATGTTAGTTAGTCTCTGAATACATGTAGAACATGATTTTACGTAGTGAAGTTGTGAACCCACAATTTAAACTATTATAAGATCTGTTACAGATTAATTGTACATCTGAATTCATCAACTTTATTCTAATCAACCAAATTAAACAGTTGATTCTCATGTAAACGATTGTTATTTAGAACGTAAACTTGAGTTTTTAGGGAAATTATAATTTTTATCTCCGAACTCTTGACAAATTGATGAGTACGAACTGTGGTAATCTTCGTCGGTTGTATGCCACAATCTTCACTTATTGAAACTCCTTTGAATAAACAGGAGTTCAGGATATGCTTATGTTTATTTTAATACCTTTTCTCCTTTTTGGATGCATGCTTTACGATTATTGATGTTGATTTATGTAAATATTCACTTGTATAGGTGGGTCGGGTAGAACGTGATGCTCCTCTCGTTGCTGGACATACGGGAAGTGTATTAGATATACAATGGTGCCCACACAATGATGATCTTATTGCCAGTGGTTCAGAGGACTGTACTGTGAAAGTTTGGCAAATCCCAGAAGGTGGATTGTTACCCAAAACAAATCTGACCACACCAGTGGCAGATTTGGTATGTCATCAGCGCCGCGTTGGGTTGGTTGTATGGCACCCAACAGCCGAACATGTATTATTATCTGCAGGTAAGATTTTCAGTACTACGCTTGAAAATTCTTATTACTAAAAGGTATTTTGTGTAGTCATTACATCTCTAAAATCACAAAATTCGTTCTCAAAGTTCTAAAAATAATACAATATCAAGTAAACAGCAATTTCGAGAAAACGTGTTGGTCATATTATCTTTGTCCACAAAATGCTTAAGCTGCATAAGGGAGCCTTTCAAGGTCAATAAATGACGCTTTATGTTTAGTAAATTAGTAATGGTAGTGCTAATGAATTTTAAACTCACATGTAATGAGATTTAGCACTTGTTTGCAGATTTATTTATAAGAGTCCCTGAATGTAATATTAATAGACGGACTAAACTCGTTTGTATCTAACAGGTTATATAGTTTTTATCTATCCTTTGCGTATTGTACATTAAAATGAAGTTCAAGTTACTAAACAACTTAAGTGATGAAAATAATAGCGGCAGTACTAAAGTATTAGAGTGACCTCAACAAATATACGACCACTTTATCAGAAATTATCAAAGCTAAAGTATCTCCTGAATTCTTGTTTTCTAAATCAGATATAAAGGAGTATGTCCCAAAGTTTATTGAGATTAACTTAAAAAACACGCTTTATTATTATTATCATTAGACTTTCATCTGATTTGTAATTTTTTATACCGTGAACTAATAAGATATGCGAGTGCTTATTTCCCTTCTCTCACTGATTTGTTCCGGCCACTTTCTACTTTTAACTAATCTCTATATTCCTAAGTGGTTTCTAAAACTGAATAGACATATTTTGTCATAATATGATTTGTTGGAATAAAGAAAGTTCTCTCAAAGTCTAACATTCTCTTTTTCCTTAATACCTATATCATTGTTTCTGTCATAGTATTAATAGTGCTGATTCATCTGTTGTCTAATATTTTCATTACATCTCTTTGATATATCTGTTATCACTTGTTCGTTTCATCTCAATTCAGAATACGACATAACGTCTACAAATCTGCAATAATATTACTACATATTGTACATACTCAAAACAGTCGGTCAGTGAAAACCGACAAAGAGCTTTACACAAATGTCCATTAGCCTAAGTTTCCATGCCACATCGCAACAAGACGAAATTATGAATATCAAAGTAGTAGCAGTAGTATCAGTCCTAGTAAAAAATATGTAATGAACAGCTTGGTTGATCGTGTATTTACTAATAGATATTTGGATATTTACCTAAGTTGATTTATCAGGTCGTTCAATAAATTTGTGGTTTTTATTTTGGTAATATAAATAATTTTTACTGCAAGTAGTAAATATATTTTTACTTAATTTATTTAAAACTATCAATTCTAACCTTGGCATGGATACCCACAAATTTTTACTGTATCTTGTTATACCATAATGGATTAGATAACATAGTTGTATGATATGTAAACGTTGAAATTCAATCGGTTAAATTTTACAGTATAGTTGAATTCTTCTTTACTGTCTAGAAAGTCAAAATAAGTTATTGGTTTATTGGTTCATATATCTAGCGTCAATTTCAAGTTATTGTATTTGTATGAAACAACAGCTTGTTTTGATTATAAGTGTTCACAGCATCGATTTTCATCTCATTTCTGATCTATATTTTATCTGATATCTTAGTTACAGAGTTCTAGTTATTGTCAAATGTGTTGTTGTCATCATTTTTTTCATTGCGTTATGCACTCTTTTTTTTCTGTCAAGTAAGTGAGAAATCAGCTATAAGTTATATACTTGTTTCTCCATTATCAATTATATCGATAGAATATAGTCAGTGTAAATAAAAGATTCTTATCAGAAGCTATGGGTTAGCTGTCAGATAATTTAAATTCTAACCACTGCGTTGAAGTATTGCACCCAAACGCACCTACTTTATTTTGGCCACTTCAGCAGTAACAATAACTCACATAAAGCGTGTAGTTCAAAGCTAAGTAAATAAAATTGGGTTCGACAAATGAGTTAAAGTATCCTATTTCTGGAATTCATGCTAGAAAGCTTTCTGTGGTGATTTTTACGTCAAATTATTCATGATACGTGTAGCATTATTTTTAAATGTACATCAGTCAGTCATAATCAATGCAGAGCGTGGCACATGTTCATTGTTTTAGGTGGTCACATCAACACAGCGAACTCAAATTGTCAAGATAAATACCATACTAGTGGTAATGTTAGTGATAGTGAGAATGATTAGGCACAGGACATATTTAGAGAAGAAACTCAGGATTTAAAAAAAGGAGACTGGGTGTATCTGTGTCAGTGTGACAGATCCTGACCATATCACCATATCACTCAACGTCTTCAACTACTAGTCGCATTACTTTCAAGGACTTAAACTAGGAAGTCTGCGTCTACCAACATAGCTCCTGCCAGTAGTCAATAGTTTCATAGATTTATATCACGCCATTGTTCGACCCCCTCCATAGCGTTTTTCCAGCCTACTCCTTTACTAGCTGAAATTTCATTTCGAGAAATTAGGTGCTTGCATGTGCATACCACATTCCAGCCACTTCAGTTGATGAAAGCTCTCAACCTTACCAAGTGATTTGCCATATTTGCTTAGTATCCTATGCCTAATCTCAACATTGGTCACTTATTCGCTTCACGATGTGTGAGCAATGTTTCTAAGGCCCCTGTAGTCAAAACCTACAACTTACGGATGTCTCCTGCTACCAAAGAGCATGTTTCGTCGACACAGTAATGCTAAGTACTTTATGACGATAGTTTACTTATTAGATTATCATAAATAGCCGAATAATTCAAAAGTTATCACCATTGACTGATGTGTGTTGAGTAACTGGATAATCGTTTCACTTATCTGAAGAGCTGGCTCACCTTCGCCAATCCTATGATTTTTAATGAAGTGATAGAGTTCTGTATCGTACATAAATGAACATTTATTAAATTACATGTTTTAAAACCGCTAACTTGTTTCATGGCTATGTATTTTTTCGTCTGTTCTTATTTGTGTGAAACCTGCTTTATTTGGTCCCTTTATTATCTAATAAAAGCTTTAAATTGTTCGTATAGTTTGACGTGTTAATCTACCTTGCTTGCTCAATGGAAATTTATAATTTTATCGGTTTTATCTTTGTCTTGTATGCAACAAACTGAAATCTAGTTTGATTTTTTAGTTTTATTTTTGCGTAATTTACAAGTGAATGGTTTGTCTGCTAAAATAACTTCCCATAGTTCTTAACAAAAGCTATAACGCCTTTACCTTTTGGTATTTGATGTATTTCTTTGATGGTCTAGTTGTGGCATTATATTATTCGGGTTCCTCTCTATTGCTCATATTCATTGCTAAAATAATATTGACTTAATTACTATTGCGTATTATAATTTTTAATACCCTTGTTTATGTGTTTGCCTAAACTTTAAATTAATTAGGTGCTGACAATAAGGTATATATATGGAATGTTTCTACAGAAGAGCCATTGGTTGAAATAAAATTCCCAGATATTGTTTTATCTGCTTGTTTCAATTATAATGGTTCTCGTTTGGTTACAACTTGTAAAGATCGGCGTACAAGAGTGGTTAACCCACGTACTGGAAAAGTCATTGTTGTATGTTTCTTTTTATTGTATTTGCTATAACTTGTATATTTTAATGACTCAGTCAGTTTTTGTATAACGTAATATGTTTTTCTAATAATTTTGTTCTTACATGAAATATAAAATTATGTCTATTCACGGGAACATAAAACGACCAAAATTGATAAAGAATAAAAGAAGACAGTTAAATTAGAAGGCGTGAAAACTAGATTTCTTTCACCTTTATGATACTTCTTGCTGGTCATAAGACAGACGTTCGATAAAAATTCATAACCGTGTTAACACTGTTATTCTCAGCCATACTAAACAATGTTTTAATTCATCATATTGTCGATTCAAAGAGTCTTAACAAATGAGCAACATATGTTAACGCAATACAATTATCTTCCATTCCTCTGAGCTATGTCACAGTCATCTGTCTGCTTTTCCCACTATCAGTCCAAGAATTAGCGAATAGTACTTAATATGAAAGCTACGAAAACAACATGTGTCAAATGTATACCATTATACTAAATATTTTAATATACCAAGTATGTTAAATACCTGGTTACAGCAGCAACAATACAGACAACCTACAAAGTAAACTGTTTACAAAACTTATTCAAGGGCGTGAAAACATATTGCAGCATCACCACTGTATGCAGAAATGGAAGGAAATACTTAGTGGATATATTTTTACGGAAAATCGCTACCCATAAAATATATTCCAGAAATGTTTATCAAATCCACCATTTAATACAAAATTATTAGCAAAAATTATTCAATGGATAACTTAACTCCATATGAAGAACATCTCCGAGATCACAAGCATTAGGATCATTTGGAACGGGTATAGCCTACAAGCTTACAAAACTGTTCCCCTTTAATATTATGCGAAGCAAAGAATACAGCAACAAAGTGACCACTCTATATGTCTACGTTTACACAGACACCTGTTAGCCATTAAATGCCACAACATACTATTTATATCTGTCGACATGAGTAACACATCACAGTACCAGTGCATATGAACATAAGTCCAACTCCGAAAATGTTGGAATATTTAACGGTAAAAACACAAAGAGATAGCGAATCTTTGAAGCCCCAGTATTTTTTAAATATAATTAAGTTTTACGAGATAGCTTTTATCAACATCTTTGTTTGTTGAAATGTGTTCTATTTAATTGATATTATGGCACGGGTTTATAGTTCATATGATTGTCATACACTTCATGTTTTGTAGCTGAAAATTGTGCTTTTGTGCTGAATAATAACTATTTATCTCAATGCATGCAAAATTTATTTTATAGGAAGGTATTTGTCATCAAGGCACCAAACCACAAGAAGCTATTTACATTAAAGACGATCGAATTTTTACTACTGGTTTTTCACCAATGAGCGAACGCCAATATGCATTATGGAATAAAGTATGTTACGCATTGCTTTCCTGATACCTTGCTTTTTTTGTTTGACAGAATAACTTTTTATGATTAAGTTGAAATGTTTCTTTCCTGAAAATTAGTGCGATTTCAAAGAATACATACTGGCGCATCCTTCAAAGCTGTTCGGAATTATGCATTAGCTGAAAAAGCAACCGTAGAGAAAAGAGTCAATAAAGCAATTAGCTTTAAAATTATTTAAGTTTTCCAGAACAATACAAAATATAACATATATCACGTTGTCAGCTTTCTCACTAAATTCCTCAATTAAGATTTCCGTTTTCCGAATATAAATTAATCTTACCGACTAGTATCACAACTTAATCCCAGGATTCCTAAAACTCCCTTCACTTGGATTATCCAGCGTAGTACACGATGATATAAATTTACCGTTACTCCGTAATTACACTCTACGCTCCTTAGTCTTTCTAATGTGAAGAAAAAAATTTGGTTTCTGCATATTTTTCGTTTTTTTTATTCGTTTAGCTATATAGCGTAACATAGTTCACTTTCCGTCTATACTCAGTGACATGACTTTTTTTAAAAATCATATAGGTAAAATATTTGTACCTTGTACATTTTTCGTCCATATTGTTAAAAGGATCGTATTAGAAAAATTTTAATCCCATTCTGAAAAGAGAAGAGATTCATAGCTTATATTTTAAATATCTAGGAATTCAAAGGCTAATGACTGTACAATGCTTTGATTACATTCGTATTTTTGTAATGATAAAAATAAGGGTTTCTGACAGTGAGATGCGCTAACTGTTTTGTTACAATATATCCTCCGTTAATTATGATTAAATTTGTTTTTTTTTTTTTTGTATTTCTGGAATCCTGGCTACTTAAAAATCGTAGAAAACACATTCAAATGCGTAATATTTGTTAACTCCTTCGACAGAAGTATAGCTTGTATAGCGAACCTTATTTGTAATCAGTATAGTTTATTCCTGGGCTTCTCCTATCGTCATTGTTTTTCGCTATGGTTTAGTTTCCACTATTTTATACCATTTTCTCATCCACATAGGATTGTAACAAAGTTGTGAAGTGTACCAGAACTTTAGGTGAGTTTTGATAGAATCACATCAAACTGGATAGTTACCATAAGTTCTACTTAATAGGTTGAATTCCTTAATATGTTCACTTGTATGAATTTTACTAATCACTTGAATTGTAATTTTAGGACGACTTTAACGAACCTTTACACATTCAAGAACTGGATACAAGTAATGGTGTAATGTTTCCTTTCTATGATTCAGATACCAATTTGATATATCTTTGTGGAAAAGTAAGTTATACTGTCGTTTCATATAATATCTAATGTTGATTACTTATTGGTAGTCTTTTAACTATTTAACCGCTTCCAAATTTTTCCTAAATTTTGAAATTTTCATCATCTCTGCTCGTACAATAATTTGAAATATTTTAAAGATCTGAATATTGTGTCCTTTTACGGAATACATGTCTTTTCCTAAACTGTGGCACTATGGATTACATTTCCCCACCACATGGTTCGAATTATGATTTACGTAATAACTTATTTCCAAGGTGTAATGTAGAAAAGATTTATTCAGTTCTATAGTTTGTTTTATTCAGATAATTACTTTCATTCTTTGCTCTTGCTCACAACTTTTGTTTACTTTGTAATGAACACTTTCTGTGGCATTTGAAACATCCTTCGCTTTAAACATTCTATGAAACCTACGAGTGAGATTATTTAACTTGTTAAATCAATTCTAAATTTTACAAACAATATGATACCTTATGATCGCTTGGTCATTCCTTTTCCAAAAAGTGAAGTGGCAAGAATTAACACAAGTTACTCATTTTCATCATTCGTCTTTGTTTTTATGTTCATACCTCTTCTGTACAATCATGTAGAATTGGTCGTTGTCTCTGTCTCTGTGTGTGTTTATCATCAAAGGAGATAGAGAATATCTGGTTTTATATCACATTTATCTTCCGCATTAAACTTTATATCCTAGTCACATGTTTTTTCCAGCCACGTGGATGATATAGGTATATGTGTACAGATATTACTTAAAAGCTTGTTATCAAGATCCGTTTTACTTGTTTTTTCTACGTCTTCTAATGAAATGAAAGTGTGTTAAATCGTTCAGATGATTATTAAAAAATCTTGCACATGATTTTGATGGGACTTAAATCTGACAGATTTGTTATTGCTTTGTAAAGCATTTCTATTAAATTACTCCTCTCGTCCCTGATTCCGATATAATTGCATGGTTAATGGTTCTGGAATGAATATATATATATATATATATATATATATATATATATATATCCACTCATGTATGAAATAAAGATTCAAGTATTTGGTTATCAGTCATATTTTAAATATTGTAGGCTATTGATACTTCCAGGCTACTCTAATCGAAATAGATGTATTGCAGACCTTGAATCTATTGGTTGCAAACTAACTACTTCTATACATGGTCGAGCTTCATTGAGTTTTAATCGTTTCATTAGAACTCGATGTCTGTTATTCTATCAGGAATCAGTGGAAGTTTCGTCTAATGTTTGAGGCACATGACAGTTATGAATAGGTTCTTATTGTTCATCACATAAACAAGGGGGCACCAAATACTTATGTGCCATGCGATAACAATGAGGCCAGTAACAGTTGTCATTGACTTGTGTCAGGACTGTGATACTGCCCGACTGCCTAAACCGAACTAGGTTGTTTTCTTAGGGAGCCACACCCGGAGCCTTTGACCTAAGAGTCTAATACACATGGCAGTGGAGCAACGTAAACAGGCACAGTCCTACGGTAGCCGGTGGCCGACAATTGGTTCATACGCCATTTGTTCCCTCAGGATACTTGATTTTTTTAATTGTTCAATTCGGTTATTTGTCTTGAAAGAGTTATTTCCAGGAGTGTTTGATGTAACTCCCCATCGTTTTGTGAAATGAAATAAAATAAATATTAACTTCTTAACATTTCTGCTGTTGTGTACATCGTTTCTGCTTCTTAGAATATGTTTATCTTACATCCATTTTGATTAAATTTGGTTTGACTGAATAACTGAATTGAATATTTGCTGTTGTTCAGTTAATTTCTTACTCAGATGTTCAATTGTAGAAACTTTACATTCGGAACATTTTCTCAACTAAATTACTTGCCACATTTACTGCTGCATTATTCTAATCTGTTTTACAATATATCTTCTACTATTCATTTTGTGCTAATATTGTATGGCAACTTGAACCAACACAGATCTATATTTGGCTCTACTTTTGGTAATAACTAATTAATTGACTAACAAACTTCATCAATAAAATTAGAACGCATTATTTATTCAACTGTAACCGCTATCATGATAGACGCCAATTTAGATCAGTGCTCTGTTAATGCTGCTTGTTTTTTTATTTACTTATGTGAATACCCCTTTATAATAAGGTTTTCCTTTGTTTTTTTCTTCTTTAAATTGCAAAATCATGTGTACCAAAACAAAGTCGGCATATATGATTGCATATTGCTGTTGTATTCTTATGAGTTAGTTAAAAAGGATTATTTATTTATGGAAAATTTACAAGTTTGTTATCGCATATATTTTATGGTTAAAAATAATCATAAATTTCAATATTGGTTTGTGTTTTTTTCTTTGACTTTTTCATTAAGAAGTTTAACGTTTTTCTTTCTTTTTTCATAAATTAATTTTTACGGCCATATTTGGTAAACTATTCGGTATTTTTTCTTTCTATCCACATTCCCCCAGTAGTAAATTAAAATAAAATAATCTAATTCGTGGATTGTTTATCTAATTTATCCACCTACTATACAACGGTAATTAATAATGATACTTGTTTAAGCCCAAGATAAAATTTGTTTGTAACTTTTATGTGATTACTTCATACAGTAGACAGTGTAATATATATATTAAACTGCACGTTCGAATCTTGCTCCAACCACTCAGATTTAGCCAGTGAATTAATATTATTGCTAACCCATACAGCAAATCTACTTAAAACTAGTTATCTCAAGTTCTAAACGATTTTATCTAATTATTCAGGCTCAGATTCTTACTAAAACAAGTAGTATCTCGGAGTTTTAAACACTAATTGGATTTTGCTAAATCAATGTCTATATCTTTCGACTATTTTTTTTTCATATTTTGGAAAGGCAACATTAATCGCTGTTAAAACATCATGTAGTTTTTTTGAATTATTTTTCTTATAAATGCTCATGATTTCGTGCTAGATTTTACCCACTCACTTAGTCATACCCTTACTATTTTTCCTCAAGTAAGACATGCAGTGACTATTGAGTCATGTCCATATTAATCTTAGTCAGTAAATATGTGTTTTGTTTAATGTGTGTGTAGGAATTTTACTTACGATTGCTGGTAGATATGCATGTTTTGCTTTGCAGCGGAAAATAATCAAAATTTAGAAGTTACATCTACTACTTCTGTTTTGCCAATCAGATACTTTCACTAGTCCTCCTATATAAAGTGTGTCTAAAACCAGAATATATCGATTTGTACTTACTAAATGAGGTATATTATATTACCTATAATTAAACTGAATTAATAGCATATAATGCATAATATATTGTTAATAAATGAGGCGAGACTAAACTACATGGACGACCTTTGAACGAATCTTAAATGACCTTGAGAAATATTAGCTAATCAGAAGACAGTACACAGTAGGAATATATTATACAAAACTCAAAAATTAAACGGGATACTGTTCTTTTACATGTCTCAAAAACCTCAAGGTTAGATATAGGTTCAGAAGTTCTAAAATCATAGTGCATCCGGTACAGGAACTCATCCATGTGGCTCCATAATAGTCGACCTCTGGAACCATGATAAGGTCTCAAAAATTCTTTTAGCCCCGACCACATAGCTTCAATGTTGTTGGTATGGTTTTAGGTTTAGGGTTAAGGATGAGACTGTAAATTATGGACGACCTTTGAGCGACGCTTGGGTGACTGAGAGTGTCAACATAATAACTAAGACTAAATAAGGCTATAAATCTGTGTGAAGAATTCAAATTATGATTTACAGCTCATAGTCAAGGTTAGGAATTATACTGAGGGGTTTTCATCACGAACTGATATCAGCTATGATGCCAAAACTCTATTTATACAAATGGATAATTGAATTTCGCGCCAAAATCTTATGATCACTTCTCTTGTAGACGCTGATTTATCACGTCTTCTCTAAAATCCGTTGTAAACCGACCGTACGTAAGCATCAGCTACCGTACTTAGCGCCGTGACCTTGAAAACCCGAAAAAGCTCCTGATTGGCTCGTCCATATAGTTTAGTCTCGCCGTAAATGACTAAATTGTTAGTAGTCGAAATGCGAAAACAATATTCGATGCTAATATTTTTCGTATAATTTATTATGTCTGTAACAACAAATGAACAAAATTAAAATCACTGTAAATATCAATGTCTTTATGTGTAAACGTTTATTCGTATGTATTCCCTATCGTTGGTTGATTTTCTTATTAGACAGGCTGTACAAAAATAGGCATGTTCACCTAACAATAATGGTCTTAAATTGATCAGTCTTTAGTATCATTTAAATGTTTTTTATTTACAAATCAATAACCGATTGCACTTTTTATAGATATATCTGTTCTTGAGTTTTGGATTTTATTTTCTCGATTATTCACTGTCACAAAGTAAAGTTTATGAATGAAAATCTTTCATTTATATGGTCTGTTTGAGAGTTTAACTTACGCGTTAGCGCATTCGACTTTGGACCATCGGATCACAGATTCAGATTTCACTTTATGTATTTTTTTTCTCAGTTAGATAATTTCATTAACCTTTATAAATATGGTGTGGTTCAAAGCTAAGCCATTAATAAATGACTGACATCATAAGTCCAGGTCTATTAAATTCATCGTTCCACATCCTCATAAATTACTTTTCACTGCGAAATGTACTATGACAAAATATCAGTATATAGGTTTTATGAAAAGCTGTGCTGTGCGTTCTGGTTTTCACATTTGAGCGCTCACCGCTCCAGTGATTCCTAGCTTCAAGTGGTTGTTTAATTATAATGTCATTGACAAAAATTACAAGATTATATATATATATATCAATGAAATCTTGGTAATTGTTGATTCCTACCTTAGGTAAAATGATATGTATGCTATTCTACACAGATTTGTTCAACTAACGTAGTATTTCTTTGATCGATAAGGGGAATATTTGTATTTCACAGATGTGTTGATGTGATTTACAGTTTTCATGAACAATCTTGCATTAAATTCTCTAGACTGCTAATATTTGGTTTTAGTTTTTCTCAACTGTTATGGTTTCTAATCATCAAATTTTAAATTACTTCCCTTGTTTTTCATTTGCAAAAACAGGGTGATAGTACAATCAGATATTTCGAGATTACCGATGAACAACCATATGTACATTATATCAATATGCTTACTAGTTCGGATCCACAACGAGGAATGGGTTGGATGCCAAAACGAGGATTAGATGTAAATCAAAATGAAATTGCTAGATTTTATAAATTACATGCGAAAGGTTTATGTGAAGTTATCCCGTTCACTGTACCTCGGAAATCAGAACTATTTCAAGATGATCTTTATCCAGATACAATTGGTGATATGCCTTCACTAACAGCTGATGAATGGATGTCCGGTAAAGATGCAGATCCTATTTTAGTGAGTTATTTATTAACTTTTTCAATAATGTATACCATAATTTAGCTATCAATATAATGTTGAAGATTTTTTCTTTGAACTGTGATCCCAAATCACTTAGTGAAATTCCACTACACTTATTTTAGTGGCGGATCAATAACACTGTCCTATTTTACACTGTGTATGAATGGCATTAAATTTCGTCTCTCAACATATCTATGACCAAAGCTATACATTGTTTTTTCTGCACCGTAGACCTTCCATTCGTTTTTTTAAATTTAATTACATCGAGTATAAAGACGGGTGGTCACTCGTGACAATGATGGTGGTTAACGTAGATAGGAAGTCAAATGAAGATTAACAATATAAAAATTAAATTCAACTTAGTATTGTTTGTTTGAATCTTCCCATCGATTTTGTTAGGACTGCAACTGGTCAGTCTCTAATTGGCATATGTGCATACTGTGCGTATTGCCTCGATATACCTTAATTCACAAGCATGGTTAGCAGAGATGGATAGTGGCTAGCAGTGGAATCCAGGACGCGCGTTTCGTCCCATTTGGGACTCGTCAGCTGGATGTACCTGCATCTCAGAGTTGATGTCCACTCTGGGACTCGAACCCAGTACCCTCGCTTCAAACGCCATCGTGGCTATCAGGACTCAGTGGCCGATTGGATAACGCGATGGCGTTTGAAGCGAGGGTACTGGGTTCGAGTCCCAGAGTGAACATCAACTCTTAGATGCAGGTACATCCAGCTGACGAGTCCTAAGTAGGACGAAACGCGTGTCCTGGATTCTACTGCTAGCCACTATCCATCTCTGCTAATATAAAAATTGTTTAATTTCAGTGCCTGAATCTTACTATAGGGTACTTTAAGGCTCTAATTCTTAAAATTTAATCCATATAATGACCAATATGCCGTCGAACAGTTTCAAGCCATATCATTTTCCTTTACTTTTGATTGTTTTCTTCAGATAATCTCACTTTAAAATTAATTTAGTCGTACACAACATGGAACTTAACAAGTGTGTATTTATGTAACACTTTTGAAATGTGATGTTATTCTAATCTTTACATTTTTCTTGTAAATTGAGTGTTGTTCATGTTCTAAATTTATTGAATCACGTATTGAAGTGCTGGTTGAAAAAAAAACAAAATAAATTAGTTGGACACTTCAGTTAAACTCTATACTTAACAAACTACCTTTAAAAAAGCACTTATTATTTTTTGTAAATTAAATAAACTTTTTTGTGTTAGTTTCAATATTCTTGAGACAAAACTGGTTTTTTATTGTTCAATGATGATATAGTTTACAAAAGTTGTTGTGTAATATAAAAGATAATTAACTGTGTGAATAATGATCTCGATTGATTACGGATACAAGCAGATTTATAAGTGATATGACCTCATGAGTGACCTTAAGTCCATTGTCTTAAAATAAAGCTCTCTTTATTCTATTTCACGGTAAAGTCTGTTTACTGATAAATAAAATGACTTGTTTTAAACTACCTGCATTGTATCGGTCGGTGCAATAATAATATTAATAATTAGTTATAATACTACTAATGATAATAAACGTTATCTATCTTAATAAATCGGATAAAAGCTTCCTGTATTGACATATAGATATTCAAATACTATCAATAAATATTCCCTATGCAAATCGATACTATCAATCACTTTTCGCTTCCTATCGATTTCTAATCGCTTATTGATTCTTGTACCGATCTGTCTACGTGTCAAATTTAATCGAACGTAAAATTAAATAATGGCTTCTTATCCCCTATTATTTGCCTTCTCTGTTATATACATACTTATACATAATCTAGTTGTAATCAGTTAAACTTGATATCATGTTATTATTATCACTACTGTGTTTTTAATATTGTACATTTCCGCCACATCATATGTTCGTTCTATGCACATGTACAGGCATATATTTGTATACAATACTTAATATTTTCAGTCTATATAAGGTAAAATACTTTTCATATATAGCTAAATATTGTAACGGTCGATCTCCAATTGCATGATTATTTTGAAGTTGTATAAACACACCTATGTAACCTGACTGTGTGTTCACTACTGGACAATTGTCCACATATTTTGCGTCTTCACGTGCTGCACCATAAATGAACTAACTTTTATGTACGTGAAGGCTAAAATCAGCTGTTTTTTGTACACGCTTTTATAGTACGTATATCTATAATATATATAGACTGCCAGTTGCTTAGATTCAGTGGGAGATTGCAAATATATTTTGTCCGAATTTTTTACATTTCTAACTCTAATTCTACTGGCCCATAAACTATTCTTTTTAATGAAATCTACGTATGTGAATAAATGTTTATTTCGCAAATAATCTGTATACACTCCCACATTCGTATATTCTGTTCACGAGGACATACAATGTATGTTTTGGAGTTTTTGTTTAATCTAGTATTTGTGTATGTTTGGTGTTGCGAAAACAATTTTCACAACTCTTTGCTTATTGATCCTTTGCGTTTTATTATTATTGCTCTTGGATCCATAATTCAGTACAAGTGTACGTGTCTGTTTAACAGTATGTTTTTCAACTATGAACAGTGCTGCTTTATTATTGTTTACACCGTGGTATTTTATAATTAGTTAAGGACTTCAATCTCGTACAAATGAGAATCGCATAGTAATATTCAGTGCTTTTGATTCAAACTGTCCCTAATTATCATTTCTATTAGTTAGCACATTTACTTTTCCATCTTATCTCGCTTCACTGTTACATTGGTTCTATTTTAATATATTTGTCACTCGCCCATCACTCTTGTCAAAACTCAGCATTTATTTTTTGTATCCCAGCTCATCTTATCGTAAATTAAAAGGTCGGTGTTAGGTCCTATATTCTTCTGACTCCACAGTGGTTTATTAGTTTTTGTACATCATCTTAATATTTGTTGTTTATGTGTATTTGTTTGAAGAGATCAAATTTTAAAAATAATAATAATAATGTATTGTAATTCGTTCATAGTTCATCTGGTAATCATTTTCTCTATTCAGTTTTTGTAATGATAGTGACTAGGGTTAAGTACGTAAATTTTTGTAGAAGTTAACATTTAAATATTTTTTAAACTTAACTCATGCTATTCAATCTATTTATTGTATGAAAATAAAATATAAATTAGTCTACTCTTTTCACTAGACAATGAAGATATCAATCAAACTCTTTATTTATTCAAATAGTTCTAGGGTTATATTCCTTTCTATTAGTCAATCATAAACATTATAGGATATGAGGTATATATGTGCAACATTTCAGTTACTTATACATTATTATCATTCATGTAAAATATTGTCAAGTACCTTCATTTATTTGAAAATATTTACAAATTTTAAGTTAAACAAAATTAGTAAGATTATCGCTAAACGATAAGTTCATTTCATCTTTTTCTTTTAAATCTTCACTGGCTGTGTATAAATTATTAAATATAAACAGCTAAACATAAGTAAAAAAAAATGAATACAAGTATACTACCGTATTATGAAATAATGTTAGATCAAAATAAAATACAAATATCAAATAAGTGGTATACTTTATAGTTGATAATGAGATGGTGGAGAAGATTTGTAGCTCAGGTGGGTGATTTTGATGGAGTTTTGTTCTCTGAGCCAGATGGTTTGGTCATGGAGCTTTCGTCGTCATTCTGAACGACAACATATACTATAGTTGATAAATTAAGAGCGATCAAAAGGGAAGTTTTAGCTTTCTATTTAAAAAAAAATCTCTTCGTAAAACAAATGCTATAGGTTCTTGTATATTGATAACATTTAATCGCATCTTTAAATGAATAAATATACTTACAAAGTCATTTTATTTTGTTATAATAGTTCTGGTTCATCCATTGTATTGTAACATTACCTTAACTTGCTCGTATATAGTAGAGTTTAGTATGAGTGAGATGAGTGACTTTGGTTAGTTATCGTAGTTTATTAGTCTATTTGTTCCAAAGACTTCTAAATATGTCTAGCTATGAGCTATTTCATGTAGGGATTTTTCAGTTTGAGATTTAATAACAGCTCCTAAAACACAGAGAACCCAACCCTAATTGCATACATAGTGTGGATCGCTCGGTATTTCCGCCTACGTATAGTCAAATTTTCATTCAATTGATTTGTTTTTTCTTAAGATATGAGTTTACAAGTTACTGATGGAAAAGAACATACGTATCTTTACGATTAGGACATGTTGACTCCTCTTGCAAAAATATAAAAGCAATATTAATGGTCGAAAAAATGTGAGATTACTGGTTCCCTTAAATCAAAGAAGTTTTCACACAATTTTTTATTGTTCCAATATTTCAATTATATCGTCTCCTATGTTTTGTATGTTATTTTGATTTTGTAGATATCTCTAAAGGAGGGTTATGTTCCAAAGTCGAAACCGAAAAAACGTATTGGGAAGGTAATCGCATCCACTCCAGCAGCAGATAAAGAAGAACAAGATTCAAATTTGACAGTTCCACAAAACAAATTAACATCGCATCAAAATCAACAACCTGGCTCTAAATCACCAAATCCTGAAAATCCTTCCAAAACTGATCACTTAGATGCAAATCGACAGCGATTGACTAAGAGTACTCCACCTAACGATATTCCATCTTCTGAACCAGTGGTATGCTTCATCATTTATTTTTGTAATGTCTTTTTAGTTTTTATGAGTCTTGTCTGTTTCACATTGATGAGCTATTTTTATATATACTTATGATATTTTTTATTGGGAATTCATTTAAAATTCTGATGTGATATTGATTATTAATAATCTAAGCTGTCAAAAATTTATAGCCGTATAATCTGCTAATAAACAAGTAATAATCGTTCATTACGTGTATCGCACATTAGCCTAATCCCCTTAGATTAGGATTAGACCTGCGACACTTCTTAACCATGTTTAAATATAAATAAATATTTTGAAAATAAAATACGGTTATATAGAGTCCTCAGACAAAAGAAATATGTACTAAAAAACCGTCTTGAATCTAGAAGGGTTGAGAAGTTAATGGTTTTACACCATTTTAATCGATCTTTAACTGTGTTACAGTCGACCTGTAACGTATGTTTTCTGATATTTCGGAAACTTTAAAGAAAAAAACATCTGTTGCTGATCCCGACTCAGATTAACAATTAGCGATATTTTGTTTCATCTGATCACTTCAGTGTTATTCCTACTTCACTAATTTTTAATGGAGGGTGATCACCCACCTATACGTGTAATGCATGTCTCGAATACCTCAATAAATGCTCACAAAGAAATATTCTTATCTACGGCATTTTAGTTAACATTATTGGACACTCAGTTGTTACACAAAAAACTAATTATTCTTTTAGTCGAGTAACTTTAATCTTCTTATTTTTAACTTCAAATCCCTTGTTTTATAGCTGTGTAGTTTGTCATTGCTGCTCTTTATATTTGCTTTTTAGTGGGAATTCATTTAAATTCTATGAATAGTAAACATAGTGTTATTTTACAAACGCTAACAATAATTCTGCTTAAAAGATCACAAGCTACTGAGTTTTGTGAATAAGTGTTAAATCTTTCTTGTAACAAGAACCATGAGTGCAGCTTTCTCCATTTGTGCTTCCACATGACCTTTAATATTTCGTGATTGTTTGTTGTTGCTTTTAGTTTGCCACTCTTTTTGTGCGTTTCAGTGTTATATATATATATATATATATATATATATATATATATATATATAGAAAGAGGGAGATGTCCTACTTTGTTATTATATAAAGAAATATCAAGTTTTCTTTTTTTCTTTCTCTTTGGTGGGGATTACTGTTAAACAGTAGTGTGTCAGTTTGCCGCTTTATCGAATTAACAATACTTACTTACTTACGCCTGTTACTCCCAATGGAGCATAGGCCGCCGACCGGCTTTCTCCAACCCAATCTGTCCTGGGCCTTCTTTTCTAGTTCTATCCAGTTCTTGTTCATTCTTCTCATGTCTGTCTCTATTTCTCGGCGTAATGTGTTCTTTGGTCTTCCTCTTCTCCTTTGACCTTCAGGATTCCATGTGAGGGCTTGTCTTGTGACGCAATCGGATGATTTCCTCAAAGTGTGCCCTATCCACTTCCAGCGCTTCTTCCTGATTTCTTCCTCTGCTGAAATCTGGATTGTTGTCTCCCACAGTAACTTGTTGCTGATAGTGTCTGGCCATCTGATCCGAAGTATCTTGCGTAGACAGCTGTTAATAAACACTTGTGTCTTCTGGATAATGGCTTTCGTAGTTCTCCACGTCTCCGCCCCATACAGTAGAACTGTCTTGACATTTGTATTGAAAATTCTAACCTTGGTGTTGGTTGACAATTGTTTTGAGCTCCAGATGTTTTTCAGTTGTAGGTATGCTGCTCTTGCTTTGCCGATCCGCGCCCTCACATCTGCATCTGATCCACCATGTTCATCAATGATGCTGCCCAGATATGTAAAGCTTTCCACATCCTCCAAAGCTTCTCCGTCAAGTGTAATTTGATTGGTGCATATTGTGTTGTATTGGAGAGTCTTGCTTTTCTCTTTGTTTATATTGAGACCTACTGCTGCTGAGGCTGCTGCTACACTGGTCGTTTTCTCCTGCATTTGTTGTTGCGTTTGTGATAGAAGAGCCAGATCGTCCGCGAAGTCTAGATCGTCAAGCTGCATCCTGCCTGTCCACTGTATCCCGTGATTCCCTCCAGATGTTGACGTCTTCATGATCCAGTCGATGACCAGGAGAAAGAGAAAGGGTGAGAGTAAGCAAACTTGCCTAACACCGGTCTTTACCTCGAATGAGTCGGTGAGTTGTCCTCCATGCACGATTTGGCAGTTTAGTCTATCATAGGAGTTCCGTATGATATTGACTAACTTCTCAGGCACGCCGTAGTGTCGAAGAAGTCTCCATAGTGTTGTCCTGTCCACGCTATCAAATGCTTTCTCGTAGTCGATGAAGTTGATGTAGAGTGATGAGTTTCATTCGATTGATTGTTCCACAATGATCCGCAGAGTTGCGATTTGATCTGTGCACGATCTATCCTTACGAAATCCAGCTTGTTGATCTCGAAGTTGGGCTGCTTCGATGTTGGGTGGGTTCAGTGGAGCTGGTCGATTCAAGAGTTCTTTGAAGTGTTCTACCCACCTGTTTCGTTGTTCTTCAATGTCGGTGATTACTTTGCCCTCCTTGCTTTTCACTGGTATTTCTGGCTTACGGTAATTTCCAGCAAGTTTCTTTGTTGTATCATACACTTGTCTCATGTTTCCCACAAATGAATGAAATGATGAACTCTATTGACGATAATATCCCTGCTCATACTAAAAGCAAGACAATTTACATTATTATTATTTACCATATCGCTAACTCACCCCCTTTTATCCCCAATTTGTGTAACCTTACTTTTCAACTTATGCAGCAGCTCGCCCATGGTGGAAAATCTGTCCTATCTAAACGATCTCCAGTCACTGTCTGGTTGAAAGTGAATGCTTCCACCGATAACCAACACTGAAGCAGTCTTTCTGAAACCACGTACGCCGTTCAAGCTGGCTTCCTTCAACGTTCGCACACTAATGCAGATCAGACAACAGATGGGGCTGGCTGTGTCTTTAGAAAGTCTTAATGTTGATGTTTGCTGTCTATCCGAGAACGCATTCAAGACTCTAGTGAAGTACTACAAATTCGCTCTCCATCTGTCGCTTCGAAAAGCTTGTTTCACGTGCGCTTATCCGGGGACTCTGTGGCATCTTCGTCTGGTCTTGTTGGCGTTGGTGTTGCACTAAGCGCTGGGGCTGAGGCAGCACTAACCGATTGGATCCCCATTAACAGTCGGTTATGTGCTGTTAGATTAGAGAGTTCCATCAAAGTGAGAAGGAACCGGCGTGAGAAACGGTGTCTTTTCGTCATCTCCACCTATGCCCCGACAGATTGCAGCCCGGATGCAATCAAGGATGAGTTTTACCACCAGTTAACAGTTCTTCTCCAGAAAGCGCGTTCGACAGATATTGTAGTATTAGCCGGAGACTTGAATGCACGGATCGGGCGTCTAGGTGGCCGATGGGGACTTGTTGGTCGCAGGACAGATAACGGAGACCTTTCCTGCAACTGTGCACAGACCACAACCTGTTTCTGGCCAGCACTAACTTCCGGCACAGTAATCGCCGGTGTACCACCTGGCGTCCTCCCTCTGCATCCCAAGACTGGACTCAGATTGATCACATCACGATCAGCTAGCGCTGGCGTGGTTGTGTACAAGACTGCCGCTCCTTTTGGAGTACCTATCTGGAGTCTGATCATGCCCTGGTCTGCGCCAATCTCACCTTACTTTTCAGTGGCCGAAGGATTGACCACCACCAACGGATCGATGTTAGTAAACTGGCTGCAACATCTGTTGCAAGTAAGTATCGAGCGGAGCTAGCTTCTAGGCTAGCTACCATCCCACCGAAAAGTATAGATGAGCATTGGTTGCTTCTTCACGACGCCATGAAAATGGCGAGTAAAGCCGCTTGCGGCTTCGCGAAACGTCCCGCTTATAAGCACTGGGTTTCTTCTGGCTCCTTACAAGTGATGGAAACCCGTCGGTCTACTCCGGGTGACCGTGAGTTTGACCAAAAACGAAGGCTGTTACGTAATGAAATTGGGCAAAGCTTGCGTAAGGACCGGGAAGCCTGGTGGTCGGAGCGTGCTAATGAGATGGAAGCAGCAGCTGCATCTGGTAACTGCCGGAAGCTCTTCCAACTCATCCGAGCCACAGACAGCAAGAAGCCTGGTGTGAGTGAAACAAGGCCCTGTATACGAACACCTCAGGCAGAGTGAGGGCATACAACCACCTTTCTCCCTTGTTCCATTCGAGCAGTGGGGTTAGGCAGGGTTGCCCGATCTCACCATTCCTCTTCAACTTTGCCATCGACGACATCCTGGAAACAGCTCTGATGGATGTAAGTAATGGCGGTGTGGATATGTTGCCTGGAGAACGACTTCTCGACCTCGAGTATGCGGACGATATTGTCTTACTGTGCGATAATGCCCAAGGCATGCAATCCGCACTTAATCAGTGTCCGCAGGTACGGCATGTGCTTTGCACCCTCCAAGTGCAAAGTACTCCTACAAGACTGGCAGGATCCTCATCCTGTACTCACCCTGGATGGTGAGCAGATTGAAGTAGTTGAGAAGTTCGTGTATCTAGGTAGCTATATAAGTGCTGGTGGTGGCGTGAGTGATGAGATTGATGCACGTATAAGGAAAGCCAGAGCGGTTTATTCCAATCTGGGCCATCTTTGGCGCCTTCGTGATGTTAGTGTGGCTGTAAAAGGTCGGATTTACAACGCGTCGGTGAGAGCAGTTTTGCCCTATGCTTGTGAAACCTGGCCTCTCCGAGTTGAGGATGTTAGATGTCTCTCTGTGTTCGATCATCGTTGTCTCCGAAGGATTGCTGACATCCAGTGGCAACACCATGTTAGTAATGCAGAGGTTCGGCATTGTGTGTTCGGGCGCAGAGACGATAATTCAATTGGTGTCACCATCTTGAAACACCGACTTCGGTGGCTTGGACATGTTTTACGAATGTCGTCCCAGAGACTTCCACGTCGTGCATTATTTGCCGACCCTGGGACTGGTTGGAGAAAGCGGAGAGGAGGTCAGTGTATGACATG